ACTTTGTAGGAGGTTATGCAGGTCGGGGTAGTGGCACAGTGCTATATATCTGGTTTTGATAAAAAATAAAAAATACTTCACGCATTCAAGAGAATAGCAATAGTCCTACGTAATCATGCAAACATATATACATGCATTAGGTGGAAGTTTTGCCAATTTGAGTACAGTTTCTCACAAATCACCCTACTTTTTCTGCCATCCCCACTGACAGCCCCACCTTTGACACAGACTCCCTCTTTGACTCTTTGTCAGCGACAACTTTATTACACCGACTTTGATTTTACTTTCCCTTGAGCACTCCTCGCCGCCCTTACTGATTCTGCTCTGGCTTACTTTCATCTTCGCTAGTCTTTGATCTGGCATAGTACATCTTTAGCACATCCCACCCGGCAGCGATGTATGACCCATGTGGGTTCAGCGCTTACTAAACCACGGTACGGGAGGGGTTAGAACTTATAGCGAGCGAGTCGTAAAATTCCAGGCCAGCGTGTTTAGCGCTTACTTCTGATTGTAATAATAATAATTTTCAAATCAAAGAAATATTTAAAAAAGTGAAGGAGGGAAAAAAAAAATCAGTTGACACTTATTATGTCTTTTTTTTTCCTACGAAAAATGCTTAGCCTTTTTTGTAGCAAAAGGCTTAGCCTTTTTTGTGAAATTCAAAATAACATTTTGGAATACAATAAATATATGCTGTTATTTAGTTTAGTGTTCGTAGTGAATAAAATTACTAATAATAAAAGCGAAAATAATTACAAATACAAATCACTCTTGTGAGTAACGCTTCACAATGAATACATAATGTAAAATAATGTCTAGTCCATGTTGCCCGTAGCTAATAATTCAATTTCCTGTCCTGAAAGAGCGTCTTCAGTCACTCTTACATCACTTTTAAGCCACTTTTTTTTTATTATTTTTTACACTCATCTAAGAAGCCTAGTACAATAAATAATTTCTAAGAAAAGGCGTCGTCTCATTTTATACACGGATGATGGGTCATCTTACCTTGTAGAGATTTATCAAGGTAACGTTTCGCTCTACACTGAGCGAAACGTTATCACAATAAGAGCTTAATCTACACCTGTGACTTCTTCATCCTCAATAAACCCGGCAACGAGGTTTTTCAGCGTAACTACCTGGGAGATTTACATTGTCATAATTAACCCCCCCCCCCCACACACCCCTCCCCCTCATTCCTAGGTTTAGCACGTCCCTCCACTCAACACTATGTAGTCTTACGGGTTTACTGGCATTTAAATTGATTTTATTATTCTCCCTTTCGTCGAAATTTTCTGCTACATCTTGTGACGAGAAACGAACTGTGATTATGAGCTGAACTTTGGTCATTAGAATTCAAATAGTTTATGTTTAGATTATGTTATTTGTAATATGACTGTTAATTAGTGTCTATATCAACAAATTGTATTCATAATAACACTGTTTAGGTAACTGAGAAAGAGGTAACGATGGCATTAAATTAATAATGATGTTAATAATTGTGTTAAAATAACTGGATAATAGAATGATTTTACGTTTTGTGTATCAAAAACCTTCCTTCCACCCTCCCGGTAAATTATGACTTTTACCAGTTTTGGATATATCTTAATGAACTGTGTAAAGTGCTTGAAAGTTACGCTACACCAATGTTGTAAATATTTCCAGTGCATTCTTGTACACCCATTAAAGCTGTCACTGTTTTTATTAGCGTGTCTGCTTGATCCTACCCTCGTATATATACAAGCAAAGTTGTCTTCATTCTTATAAGTTACAATGCTACCTAATGACCGACAAGTAAAATATTACTCACAAAAATAAGACCCCCAAAATATTATCCTTACATTTCCTACGAATTTTATGCAATTTATATAATTTTTATACATTATAATTATATATTTTAAGGTATACTATGTGCCCGCACCAACATCACCTAGAATTTTATGTTTATGAAGTTCATGCAATATGTAATGATAATACGGTTTTCCTTACCTTTAAGTAGCAACAATATATCTTATGGGGATGAGGAAAAGTTCGATACATAACTCCTCTGTAACTAACTCTCTGGTTATGAGTTATTTATTTATGCTTGGCTGCAAGTACATTGCTGAAAGTTCCTTGATATACGATCCCCTTGTCACGCGAGTGCAACATCACGTTATATCTAGACTAGAATTCAAGAACACATGTAACACCATCAAGACAGGTTGATTTTTAAGGAGCAGACATAAGTAAGGATAACACAGCACTCATCCATAATTCCACCAGGCAGCGGTCACTGCTGCCATGACCTACCATAAGGCCTTTTGGCTGCCCAAAACCATGTCATGCCCTAATA